GAACAAGTATCATTCAGGATGTTCACCCAAATTGATTATCTAAGTGATTCTCCTTTAAAAATGAGTTACGCCGAGTTCCTGTATGTAATGTCCATTATAACTTAACATAATGATTAAATTATCGATGGTAATAACTCATTCCGTGCTTAATATAAATTAAGATATGATTGAATCGATATTTATAAAAAAATTATTATAACTATAATAAATAAAAGTGTAAAATATGATTTAAAAAAAATACACATAATCTATATTATTTGTTGTGTTAATGATCATTAAATAATGGGTTAAATATGTTTTTAGTTCCTAAACTATTGGTCGTTTCTGGTTTTCGTCCTTTCAAAGTAAATACAATCCTCATTCTTTTCGAAACGTTCGTTTTAGTCATCGGAATTTTGGTTTTAGTCATCATTTTGCTAAATGAGGACCAAAATTTTAAACAGTGTTTAGTTTTCAAGGACTAAAACGAACGTTTCGAAAAAAATGATGACCAAATTGTACCTTACTTTGAAAGACTGACGAAAACCAGAAACGGCCAATAGTTTAGGAACTAAAAACATATTTCACCCTTAAATAATCAATCCGATTTTCAAATAACTCAAAGGGTTTTGAAGTAAGATACCTCAAACCCGTATCCAAAACAACTAATATTGAAAAAAAAATTAATTATTGATTCTTAAGTTCCGAATTTTTGTGGATAATAAGAAGTTTGATACGACTTTGATTAAAATGGTATATAAACTAAATAAAATAAAATCGAGATAAAGCAAAATATGAAGTACAATTATTGGTGTTTTTTTAATTAGCACCATTATTGGTATCCTAGCGGAAGCTGAATCGAATTTTCATATATCTTCCATTTGATGTCATTTCACCCCTTTCACTCTCAATAGGCTTCTCTTATATATTTTTTTTCAACTATTAAAATAAATTATGTCAAAACAATAATTATAATATTTAACTTATTTATTCAGGCTTTCTACATGTAATGATCACAAACTTAATCAAACCCTTCCTGTATCCTTTTATCATCAATGGCATAGCCAAAGCTCCTTTAATGGTTTTCACTCCTGCAAAAAAAATATATAATAATCACTTCAACAAGAACAGGTAGATGTGGAAGTTGGTGGAATAAGTAATCTTTCCTTTTCCTGCATAATTGTATTTAAAAATTAATTAATTATTGTTTCTCTAATTTCAACTAAAATAACTTCTTCTGATTGCATCCTTTCCTTTTTCATGCGGATATATATCTTTCAAAATACATGCATGCTCTCTATGTTTTCATCTAAAATCAAAAGCCTTTTAATCGTACTCATACATTCACACTGAATTTGTATGCTTTATTTTTTCAAAATATGTTCGAATTTCTTTGATTGGCATAAACACAACTATAACTTGAGAAAATAAAAGATTAGCAATAAAATAATCTTTTATACGTTAAATTAACTATTATAAAATTAAACTTTTATGTTTTTATTTTTTCTGAAAATAAATAATTTCAACCGATAAAACAATTTCTATAAATATATATTATATGTATAATGCATATCCAAACACTAACCAACTAATTCATTACTGACAATCTCCTTTCACAATTAATTTTCTTCGAATAATTTAGTCTTCGTTATTCTAAAATAACATAATTTTCTGGTAAACCTCACGCAGCCAGTGGCATATATTTTGATCTATTAACAAGCAAACTAAATCATTAAATATTCAACTTTTGAAAATCGTATGCACAAATATTCATTAAGAATCATAAATAAATAACAAACATTTATATAAACTGAAATTTATCAACCCATGATTTACTTTATACAAGCTTTATTATATAAACTTCTTGAAGAATTATTTTGTCATAACTATTTAACTTATAAAGAGCTTTTTGTTCATACTTTTTTACAGAAAATTTAGGAAAAACCATTAACTATTGAAAATGATCCATAAATTAATGTTGAGCTTACCACTGCGCAAAAGTGAAGTGAGGCCATTCCATGTTAACGCAGAACGTATCACTGCTGGCCAAAATGGAGCAACAAAGGGAGACCAATCTGCTGACTTGATATCCTACATACATATATATATATATACCAACCATGCATCTTATACATTAGTAGCAACACAATTTCTCTATCAATATATTCAGAATAATAATATTTTGATACATACAAATTTTTTCCATTCATTTGTCACTATTTTTCATTACTTTTTTATTTCTTTTACAAATATAGAATTTTTTTTATAATTGTTTTATTTGTTTAATATATATCAAATGAATGTGAATATGGTTCACCGTATACCGTATGTATATACNTACGTGTTTTGTGATATTTTTTATATGTAAATAAAATATTTACAAGTTAAAAGGAGTTTGGCTGGTTAGAGATCTAATGAGTCAAGTAAAGAAAATTAATTGTTTTGGTGTATGAATTTGATAAATTTGATGTTTAACATGTCGATGATCAATTTTATTTTGATAATGGAATTGGTTATTGTGATGAATCTGGTTGGTGTGGATGATTGATTCAAATTGAATGATTGTTTCATGCTTGATTGTTTTTGGTTGATTTTGTGATTGTTGAGGAAAATTCTCGAATAATGATACTATGACACATTTTTACATTCATTTGACACAGACTATAAAAGTAAAGTGGTAAAAAAAGTATAAACTTTTGTATTGTTTAAAAAAATAAGAGAATAAAAAGTAAGTAAAGATAATGTCAAATAAATGTAAAATATTTGAGTGTGTCAAATAATCTTTACTCAAAGTTATTTCTTATAATAACCTTAGTGTATAATAAGAAGGTATCATAAAATGTATTTAATTAATATATAACATACAACCTTCTTAGTATTTTTTTTTTCTCGAATGTATGTCTTTGTCATCAGCATTTTATTTTGTAAAAAAAAAATTGAAGTTGTTCTTTGTAACCATTTTATTTTACTGGCAATTAATTAAAAATGTTGACCTTGACCAATGACTTGACATTGATATCATAAAAGAAGGAAGTAATAGTTAACATTATAATAAAAGTTTGACTAAATGAGTATTGATCAATAACGTTTCAAATCAAATCAAAATAGTAAATTATTTAATCAAATAATCTAGATCGTTCACTGCCTAAAAAGTTTATAAAATATAAGTATAAACATGGTTAATTAATTAAAAGCTGTCTCCTAACAAATTTAATTAAAATACAATAAATTAGAATCTGAAAACGTTCACAGAAAACATTGAATAGAGTGAATAAACTGGAAACGTTTACCAAAAACAATATCATAAGAATGATGATAAAATAATTAAAGAAGCATATGATTCTCTGTTACCTACAAGCGTAAATAAAAGAATCTCGATAGTAGAAATTATAATTAAAAAAAAACGTCTAAACACACTCGATTACATAAATGGACAAATAAATTAGCTAACATTTAATTTTGTAAAATATGCATTTTTTTTTTCACAAGACATTTATATGGAAACTTATGATATGATTTTCAAAATATTCTTATTTTTTTGTGCTTAATAAATCACACAATATTACAAATACAACTACAAATCAAACCTGAGCACAGTCATTTATTTCCATAAATTTGATTTGGTTTCCATATTTTTTTGATTATTAAATTTAATATTATCAAACAGAATTAAAAATTCTTAGTTTGTTACTATCACACTTAAAATGATTTTTATAAAAAAAAATTGAAAAATAAGTAATTTATTGAAATGTTAATATTAATTTATGCATGTCTCAACCAAGCCCAAACTCGAAATTCAGTATTTTCTCAAGTACAGAAATTTGGTACATCTAAATCTACCACAACCACTGTTAAAAAAGATTATGATATGTTAATAATTAAAAGTTAACCATTTTTTTTACAATGATTACGTGTCAAAAATATATCGATCCATTTTAAATATTTTAAAAATATTATTTCAAATGCACCAATAAAAACTGTGATCTGACAATTGTCTTATCACCAAGCCTATCAATCCTAATATTTACTCAGTGATATCTTTTTATTATATATATTGGATGTTTATTGTTTATTTAAAATTTTATAAAATTGAATTAGAGTTAAAATTCATCTTTTTAATATTATATTAAATATAACCTAAGATTATTTTATTACTGAGTAATATTTTTTGGCAACTTGTGATGAGACATGCATCCAATTGGTGAGTGTTTGGATATGCATTATTACGCAGAGTGACTAGACAAGATCTGCGTATAAAATATGGCGTTGTATCAGTTTCTCACTCAATTTTCTTCAACGAAGGAGATGGCGGCAGTGGAACAGCATGAGAAGGAGAAGGAGAAACTGCAGAAGGGAATCGCTGAGTTCTACGACGAGTCCTCCACCATATGGGAGAACATTTGGGGCGACCACATGCACCATGGCTTCTACGACCCGGATTCTACCGTTTCGGTTTCGGATCATCGTGCTGCTCAGATCCGAATGATCGAAGAGTCGCTTCGTTTCGCCTCGCTTTCTGGTATTCTTCGTTTTTCGTAACAGTTCTAGTTTCAACTTCAGTCTGTTCATTCAAACACTGTTAGATTCCAAATTCACAACAAAATTTTATGCAGATAGGTGAGATTAGTTGCGTACATCACATTCTTTGATCTGCTTTGATTCGAAAACGAATTTTCTTCATGAAATTTGCTCGATGATGCCTTCCAAGTCTTTTAGTCCTTTTTTAAAAGATGATGTCGTCTACTTTGCTGTTTGTCATGGCCTTTTTCATTGTGTCTCCCTTCCACATGTTTCACGGGGTATTTTTTTTATGGAAAATGTTATTTGGACAACAAAAGTTTGACACAATTTTGACAACGGCGACGTGGCAGCTGTGCATTGGCTCAGTGAACCGGGGTGAGGGGTATTTTGGGTTTTTTCTGGTTTGTTTTCAATTCACTGAGCCAATACACAGCTGCCACGTCGCCGTTGTCAAAATTGTGTCAAACTTTTGTTGTCCAAATAACATTTTCCATAAAAAAAATACCCCGTGAAACATGTGGAAGGGAGACACAATGAAAAAGGCCATGACAAACAGCAAAGTAGACGACATCATCTTTTAAAAAAGGACTAAAAGACTTGGAAGGCATCATCGAGCAAATTTCATGAAGAAAATTCGTTTTCGAATCAAAGCAGATCAAAGAATGTGATGTACGCAACTAATCTCACCTATCTGCATAAAATTTTGTTGTGAATTTGGAATCTAACAGTGTTTGAATGAACAGACTGAAGTTGAAACTAGAACTGTTACGAAAAACGAAGAATACCAGAAAGCGAGGCGAAACGAAGCGACTCTTCGATCATTCGGATCTGAGCAGCACGATGATCCGAAACCGAAACGGTAGAATCCGGGTCGTAGAAGCCATGGTGCATGTGGTCGCCCCAAATGTTCTCCCATATGGTGGAGGACTCGTCGTAGAACTCAGCGATTCCCTTCTGCAGTTTCTCCTTCTCCTTCTCATGCTGTTCCACTGCCGCCATCTCCTTCGTTGAAGAAAATTGAGTGAGAAACTGATACAACGCCATATTTTATACGCAGATCTTGTCTAGTCACTCTGCGTAATAATGCATATCCAAACACTCACCAATTGGATGCATGTCTCATCACAAGTTGCCAAAAAATATTACTCAGTAATAAAATAATCTTAGGTTATATTTAATATAATATTAAAAAGATGAATTTTAACTCTAATTCAATTTTATAAAATTTTAAATAAACAATAAACATCCAATATATATAATAAAAAGATATCACTGAGTAAATATTAGGATTGATAGGCTTGGTGATAAGACAATTGTCAGATCACAGTTTTTATTGGTGCATTTGAAATAATATTTTTAAAATATTTAAAATGGATCGATATATTTTTGACACGTAATCATTGTAAAAAAAATGGTTAACTTTTAATTATTAACATATCATAATCTTTTTTAACAGTGGTTGTGGTAGATTTAGATGTACCAAATTTCTGTACTTGAGAAAATACTGAATTTCGAGTTTGGGCTTGGTTGAGACATGCATAAATTAATATTAACATTTCAATAAATTACTTATTTTTCAATTTTTTTTTATAAAAATCATTTTAAGTGTGATAGTAACAAACTAAGAATTTTTAATTCTGTTTGATAATATTAAATTTAATAATCAAAAAAATATGGAAACCAAATCAAATTTATGGAAATAAATGACTGTGCTCAGGTTTGATTTGTAGTTGTATTTGTAATATTGTGTGATTTATTAAGCACAAAAAAATAAGAATATTTTGAAAATCATATCATAAGTTTCCATATAAATGTCTTGTGAAAAAAAAAATGCATATTTTACAAAATTAAATGTTAGCTAATTTATTTGTCCATTTATGTAATCGAGTGTGTTTAGACGTTTTTTTTTAATTATAATTTCTACTATCGAGATTCTTTTATTTACGCTTGTAGGTAACAGAGAATCATATGCTTCTTTAATTATTTTATCATCATTCTTATGATATTGTTTTTGGTAAACGTTTCCAGTTTATTCACTCTATTCAATGTTTTCTGTGAACGTTTTCAGATTCTAATTTATTGTATTTTAATTAAATTTGTTAGGAGACAGCTTTTAATTAATTAACCATGTTTATACTTATATTTTATAAACTTTTTAGGCAGTGAACGATCTAGATTATTTGATTAAATAATTTACTATTTTGATTTGATTTGAAACGTTATTGATCAATACTCATTTAGTCAAACTTTTATTATAATGTTAACTATTACTTCCTTCTTTTATGATATCAATGTCAAGTCATTGGTCAAGGTCAACATTTTTAATTAATTGCCAGTAAAATAAAATGGTTACAAAGAACAACTTCAATTTTTTTTTTACAAAATAAAATGCTGATGACAAAGACATACATTCGAGAAAAAAAAAATACTAAGAAGGTTGTATGTTATATATTAATTAAATACATTTTATGATACCTTCTTATTATACACTAAGGTTATTATAAGAAATAACTTTGAGTAAAGATTATTTGACACACTCAAATATTTTACATTTATTTGACATTATCTTTACTTACTTTTTATTCTCTTATTTTTTTAAACAATACAAAAGTTTATACTTTTTTTACCACTTTACTTTTATAGTCTGTGTCAAATGAATGTAAAAATGTGTCATAGTATCATTATTCGAGAATTTTCCTCAACAATCACAAAATCAACCAAAAACAATCAAGCATGAAACAATCATTCAATTTGAATCAATCATCCACACCAACCAGATTCATCACAATAACCAATTCCATTATCAAAATAAAATTGATCATCGACATGTTAAACATCAAATTTATCAAATTCATACACCAAAACAATTAATTTTCTTTACTTGACTCATTAGATCTCTAACCAGCCAAACTCCTTTTAACTTGTAAATATTTTATTTACATATAAAAAATATCACAAAACACGTACAGAGACTCATATGTATAATAAAAATATATAAAAGTAAAAAAAGACCACATGCAACATAAAAAGATTACCAAAATCAAAGTTAAAACTCAACTCTGGAATTGATCCATCTAAATTAAATAACTTGTTGCAAAAATCAATTTTATAGTCTTTGGTTCTTAAATTAGAAAAACAGAAAAAAAAAACTTAAAAAAAAATTAAAAAACTCTAGTGATTTCTAAAAGAATAATGTATTTTAAATAATTAACTTCTATTATTTTTAAATAACGACCCCTACCAAGATTATTTTTTTAATATTTATTAGTTTGTGTTGTTTTTATTTCATTTAATAATATATTTTTAATATTGCCTTTTGTTTAAATAATTATTTTACTTAAATTTAAGAGAATATTTTTATATATTGCTTTTTACATTATAATATTTAGTCATAATATACGTGATTAAAATATGATATGTAGATAATAAATGTATGGATATATGGTTTGAAAACCTAAAAGAAGTTGATAATAAATGTGTGGATACCTTTGTATCAAAGGTGTGTAATGATGCGAAGGCCAAACCACATGTTATACAGATAAAATTTAACCTAGGTACAGGTATAAATAATGGTATTATCAGAAATAACATAATTAAACATTAAATAAATCTAATAAAATTTTGTTAAAAAAATAAATTCACATATTTCTAAAGTTTGAAAACTAAATTAGATAAATATTTTAAAAAAAATTAGTTCCAATTTTTCTTAAAAATTAAGGAGTAAAAACATATTTAATTTTCTAAGATATGTTAGTATTAACTTTTTATTTTAAATAATTGATTGAGAATTACCTTACTAATTACTATCTTTTATTACTAAAATGATAGTAATTATTTTAGTAGTTTTTATAAAAAAACAATCTTTTAAATCTACACAATCATTAAAAATAAAAAATAAAACTAGTTTTTCAGTTTTATCATTTTAGTAATTTATTTTTGAATTTAAATAACTATTTATTATAAAAGAATAATTTACTTTTTTATAATAACTACTTTTTCAAATTTAAATAATCACTCATAATATTATTCACAAAATATTACTTATAATATTATTTATTTCAATAACTAAAATATTTTATCTATAATTATATACACCTTTTGTTTTTCTAATTTTATTATTTTAATTACTATTTTTAAAATTTAAATAATTTATAGATATTTAAAAAATAGTATATACAGACATTATATGTGTTTAGACAAATGTAAATAACAAAGTTATGTTAATATAAAAATAAAATTGTTATTTAAATTTACAAAAAAAAATTAAAATTGAAAAAAATGAAATAGTAATAATAATAATACATATAAATGTAATATATTAAAAAAAATAATCAATTTGGTAAGAGGAGAATCTCCTACTTTTATATTTTGACATTTTCACTTTCATTCAAAAACTCATATTCAACTAACTCTCTCTTCTCTGTAGCACCTCCTTAGCTTGTTCCAACAGCCACCAACCACTCACCAACCGGCCATTCCAGAAGGTTAGATATGATATTTTCTCTCTTTCTTTATGTAATTTTTATTCCAAATCTTTCTATATTTTCTCCCTCTAATTTTTTAATCTTTAAACCCCATGAAGTGCTAGATTTTTGTGTGGTGTTATTTAACAGTATGCTATTTTTGTACACAGGATGAAGTACATATGCATTTACTTCCCACAATAGAAGATTTCTCTCTGTCATGGAGGTAGGCCTAACCACATAACATAAAAGTCATCCACCATTTCAGAAAATTTTATAATATGATATTCTTTTAAAAGTTAAATAATAAACTATATAAAATTGTAATTTATTATAAACATGATTATTGAAATCCTATATGTGATTTTTTTGTTATAAATTTTATATATTTATTTCATTTATTTAAATTTAAAATGAAGGTTTTTATAAAATAATAGTTTACCCAACATAAACTTAAAACTGAAACCATTATTCAAATTAATAACTAACTCAATAAATTTAATAAGTAAATATAAATTTAAAATATTAAATTTATGTGTAGTGAATTAATTAAATTGAATCCGAATCCATTCTAATCCACTCGAAGAAGGGAGATGGAGACAGAAGGAAAATTAGTTGGTGGAAGTGTGATCTCATAATAAGATTTGGAGGGAAAAAATCTATCATGGCTGGTCTGTATGTCAATGTCAGAATCTGAGTGGTAGATAATTTTTTTCCGATCCCAGTCAGATAATTCTGATCAGATAACCATAAACAAAGATGTCATTTCAAAAAACAAAATTTCATCAACCTTTTTTCTCTTTAAAAATTTCTACCCGTTTTCCATTTGTTTGATATTGTTTTTATTATACAAGTCACGTTACTATCTATTACAAATATTTCATCAAGCTCTTTGTCTTATATCTACGGAATAAATTATATTAAGAAAAACTCAACCACATGTACTAGTACTAGAATATTAAAATAGTGTATATATATATATATATATATATATATATATATATATATATTACTCTAAAATATAACTATAAATCTAGACCATACAAGTATTTCACCAGGTAATTAGTTATAGATTTCATGTTATTTAAATAATTGATTTAATAATTTATATTTAAAGTTATAATTCTCTCACGAGAATATATATCAACAACATACACTGCATTTTTAATTCAAATACACTCTTTTATTTCACCATTTAACACATTTTTTATATTAATAAAACTGTATTAAAAACTACAAAATTGTGAATGTACATTACATAAAGACCGTGTGCCTCGTATACTTTCAGTTAAAAAATATGGTAAAAAGTGCATATTACTTGTATTTCAGAATAATCATTCTCTATATACTATAATATTACTGTTCCTTTTAACTACTTAAATATACATAGTTAAGCAACAATTTCATTTAATATATCAATTATCTGTTTATATTATTTAATACAGTTAGTCCTAAAAATGTTATTTTTCTAATTGAGATGGTGGTATTATCCAACATTTTGATGGGGAAAGAAGGCAGAAATCCCCATCCAATTAGGGGAGAAAAACATTCTTTAACAGAGTATTGTAAATATTAACCTATAAATTCTAAAGGCTAAAATTTTGATCCAGAGATGAAATTAAACCCTGA